GGCTGGGCTTGAACCGGCTCTGTCCGACCCGCCCCAGGACAGCGCTCTGCGGGCTAATGCCCTGTTGTTTTCAGAGTCCCAGCTGAAAGACAACCCTGCCTTCTCCATGCTCAACGACTCGGACGATGACGTCATCTACGGGTGAGTCGTGCTCCTGACCGCCGTCCTGGGCACCGGCCGGGGCCTGCATGCTGCTGAGCAGGGCTGTCAGCTCGGGGGTTCCAGGGTGTCTGAGCACCCGCTGTGGCTGGCGGTGTCACGTGGCTCTGCTCCCCCGTTGTTCTGGCTGAGATGGAAAGGGGTTCCTTTTACCCAGCACGCCGGCCAGTGGTGACCACAGGAAGGCAGTGCTTTCCGGATGGCGGCCCTGGTGAGGGGGGTGTGGAGTGGGCACTGGCAGTTGGTGGTGGAAATGGAGCGAGTGAAGCTGAGATCTCGTTAGAATGGCGTGCCGTTGGAGAGAAGCCGTGCCAAGCGTCCTAGTAGCCGAGGTCTCTTTTGTACCAGGAGCGACTATGAAGAGATGCCCCTGCAGAACGGCCAGGCCATTCGGGCGCAGTACAAGGAGGAGTCCGAGAGCGACTGAGCGCCTGGGTGGCAGGCGTGGGGTGCCCTGCAGGGCCGCCGCCTCCACACCGCCCTCCGCACCTGCCTGTGCGCGACTGGTCTTCTAAGCAGAGCGTTCTGGGTCCTTGTTTGTTTACATATTTTTAGAGGAAAACCTAAACTGAGGAAAATTTTATCGTTGGGCCAAATTTGTTGTTAAAAGTGGCTGCACTGGGGAAGAGAGGCGCTGACACAGCCAAATCCTGTCGGAGGCTTCGGGTGAGCGAGAGCTTGTCCTCAGCGGAAGGAAGGAATGACTCCTGTTTTTGTGAGAATTATGCACTTATTTTAAGATGATTTACTAAGTCCACGTTCGTGGGGAGCCCCCTCTGAAAGCCCTCCGCCTGGCAGCGCTCCCCCCACCCCCTCCGCCCGCCGTGCGCTTCCTGCCTCAACCCCAGGGAAGCCGTGCGCGCTGCCTCCCCAGGGCAGTCCGGCCCGAGGGGCCTGCGCTCCTCCTGTTAGCGTGAGATGGGAAGCGATGGCTCGGGGGCAAGGTTGGGTGGCAGGTCCAGCCCTGCGCCCACCAGGGCAGACGGTCCCGGCGTCTGAAGAGCGAGTGATAGGGTTTCTAAGAAAAGGACAAGTGACCAGTTGCCATAGGTTTCCCAGGGGTTGCGTGCACACGTGTGCGTTTGTTTGTTGATGAGAGTCACAGCCATGGATATGCAGGATGTCCCTGTGGTTGGGGCGGGGAAGAGGGTCCAAGGGACAGTACTTTCTGCAGCTCTGCTGCCGAGGACACCCGGTAGAGCTTTGTTTTGCTTTTTTAATAAAAGCTAAACAAATGACTGACAGATTACATTTCAGTAGCTCCTCACTTCTTTACTGCCAAAAGCTTTTTAGTTTCTCGTTTGGAACTAAATGAGATGAATGGAAGTGAGGCATTGTGGATTGTTCCTGGAAGAACCTCTTTGGGTAGAAGGTAGCTTGTTGGGAATGTCTCCCTGGTGGTCAGGTTAGCAGGTTTGTTCCTGTCCCTCTTAGCACCTGGTAGACACCAGTGCTCTGCTTTGACGTGCTAGGAAAGGTCTCGAACTGTTAGCAGGCTTGTGCAGATGCAGGGGACAGGGTCTGGTTGTTCGCTGTGCACGCAGCTCCTGCCCGTCCTTCACTGGCTTGAGCTCTCGGCTCACCGTTCCTGCTGAACATGTCCCCTCCGGGCAGTGCTGGGACCTAGAGGTCAGCAGGGACTGCTCCTCACTTCAGACCTTCCTTCTTAATTTTAACATCAGTGTGATAACATTCCTTTATATGAAGTCCGTTTGTTTTTAAAGCTCTGTAAATATGAATGTTCAGATTACAACTGTATTACTGCAAGGGTAATTCAGGTTTACATGGTTTTTTATATTTGCAATGATGTGTTACATTTTTTAATTGTGTGCTCAGAAGTGTTGAAAAAATTTTGTTACCAAATTTTACAATCTCTATTAAGACTAACTATAAATAATGTTATGTAAATTGACAAAAATTTGTGCTGATTAATGTATTGTAGTATGTGATGTAGTTTACATTTTAATTATAAAATAATTACCCATAATTTGAACACTGATATTTATCAGGAAGTGTAAAATGTTTGAGGCATTTAGTCATATAACTTAGAACTTTTTAAAACCTGTCTTTGGCCTGTATTGTAACTATAACTGATGACTGATATCTTCATATATTGATTCATTATGGTGTCAAGGAAATGAACAATATGGGCATATTTATTTACTTTGTGTACGAAGTTGGAAACAAGAAAAAACTTACAAAAAAAGGTCCTTAAGGGAAATAGTCATGCATTTTCAATTTCCCTTCTTGGTGTATCATAATATGAACATACTAGAGGGTATGTGCACCAGTGGGGTCCCTCAGCCTGGCCTGCACGCTCTTGCAATCCAGGACCCCTCGGGGAATGTCAGACTATTGGTTTCTCCCACCTGGCCTGCGGGGATTGAGCCGAAACTGGCAATCGGACATCCCCCAAGGGATGGTAATGGTGTGCAAAGCGGTAGGTGGCCAGCGTTGGGCGCCACACCACTCCTGCTCATGCCTGCCCCCACGCCTGCCACTGCTTGGTAGCACTTTCGTGGAGGCAGGAGAGGCTTATGCCACCTCAGCTGCTCTAGCCAACTGTGAGCCCAGGTGTCTGGCACCCGTCAGTCAGCTGAGTGGTACTCCTGCTGTGGGAGCGCACTGACCACCAGGGGGCACTCCTGTGTTGAGCGTCTGCCCCGTGGTGGTCAGGGTGTGTCATAGTGACTGGTCAGTTAACTGGTCGCTTAAGGTTTTATATATAGATTATATACTCCATGTAAATTTCTGCTTAAAGTATATTTAGCATATACTGTATGTGCCCTAGGTGTTAGATTAAGACACTAACCTCTGCCAGAAACTTTAAACAGTAGCCGGAAATTTTTTCTTTGGAGATCCTCAAAGTTTTGCAAATTTACACGATAAAGGGCTAACTTTAGTTCTTCCATTGTAACAGCTTGAACAGCATCCTCTTTGGGGTAACTTTTGTGCTGGTCCCGGCCAGGGCGACCTGGAAGGTGGCCACAGGCTTTCAGTTTCCTAGGGACAGCGTCATCATCTCTGCAAACAGCGGTTCCTCTGGATTTATTATTAAATCATTATTGCAGTGAAGTGATGGGGTTTCTCTCTTACGCCCGTTTGAAAAGCTTAAAAAGGCAATATATAAAATGGATTCAAGGTTTGTCAGCTCATCCTGTACAGAATTAGATTGCAGTAAGCTTAGATACATGATGTACACCAACCCACTGAATGGGGAGATTATAAGAAATGTCACCAGCCTCTCTATTTTGTTAAGTATTTACTAAAGGTATATAGTGAATAGGCTGTAATGTGGGCATTTTCACGGGGAAAAAGATTCAAATAGAAGGGATGATTAAAAGGGATGCCTACAAACTCTAAAGTATACTTATACATTTTAAGGGTTTTAGAAACCAGTTGCCTTAGAGGTTAGACTTTCGAAAAAAATCTTTTTCCCAGACAAAAGGGAAGTTGCTTTAGTCTGTGACATCTTCTTATCCTGTTGATCTTGATTTCACGGGTTTTAGAAATACTAGTAATTATTCTGAAATACAGATTTTCTGCTACTGAAAACTGCCTTTTTACAAGATTGTAAATATTTATAAAACACAATCCAGTTAAAGCTTGAAAGGGTAGAGCTGCGAATTAGAACTGTCAATGGCACAGTAAACCCGATCACAGAATGAGCACTGTAATCTGTTGAAATGAATAAATGTTTATTTATTGCAAACTTTGGGAGTGGCTTTATTCTGAGACTACCTTTTTGGTAAGTGTACGTTTTTAATATTTGATCTTTATTACGTTGGTTTGCTCTTTGCCTGTGGAGTTAACGTGATCTTTCACATGGGAGTGCTTTCAGGACAAGAGCAGCGTATTTTTCATTTTAGCGGGTGGACGAGGAGTGTGTCCTTATTGCCAAGATAATGCAGTCCAAGGATGAGCACAGAGATTAGGCACAAGACCAGGGTTTAAGGCTCACCTCCTCGCTTACTTGGATGTGACTTTAAATCAAGCCAATGACTTCCCAACACATTTTCTGTAAATAATGATGTTAATTGTTGTAGATACAAACGAATGATTGTGAAGGCATTTTGCAAGCCCGAGAGACTAAAACCTGTGTGTGTGTGTGTGTGTGAGTGCTACAAAAAATGAGAACACGGAGTACAAGTTGCAGTGTTGCAGATGTGAGCCATGTGTGTGCATTAGAGCTCCTGACTAAGGGACAGCCAGCGGGCCCGCTCCCCACCGGAGCCCTAGGAGAGGGAGCCTGGGCTGGAGGCAGAAGAGATCTCACCAGAACACAGCGGAGCTGTCAGGGCCTGGCCCTTGGGTTAGCAAGTCTTTGTGTTGGAGAGGCCCAAGCCAAACTGCAGCTAGTTTTTCTTTTCTTAGTTTCATAGATGTCGAAGCACTAAGTAAATACATTTTGTTTGTGACACTATTTAGACTAGTGGTCACCAACCAGTAGTCCTTGAGGTACGAAAGGTTGGCAACTGCTGATTTAGACTAAAGAAAAACAAACTTTAAATTGGAATAATTTATTCTAATAAAAATACAAAGTATGGAAAAAAAGTGTGTTTGAATGATTTCAGAGAGAAAGGTTCACACTAGCAGGCTGAGTGTTTAGCACCTTTGAACAGAGATATTCAGAGTGTGGACACATGGCAGTCCAGGTTCCGACGGAGGATCCGTATGACTGGGTGTATGATCACAGAACAGGCGATCATTGGGTTTTTCTCTGCATGTTGACAGTGCCACAGAAAACAGGGAAAGCTGTTCAGGAACTCATGGCTGGTGGTTAGAAGGTCAGACAGAAAAGTTGAGACAGAGGAAGAAGCCCGGGGGGGATGAGGAGTCAGTCAGATGGACAGTCCGAAGGCGCTGACGATGCAGTACATGGTCTTGTTCTCCCATCGCACAGTGCAGCTCCCTGCGGGCAGGTGGCATGGGAAGTCAGGAACACAGGCCACTTTGTGCTGAGGTCTCACTGTATGGCCCAACACTCAGATACTTACCTCTCTGGGTACCACATGAGAAGGCTGGCAAATCTCTTTTCTACAAAATGCTTTAAAGGTAACTAATAAGCATGCAAAGACAGGAAACATCCATGCACACAGTTCAGGGAACACTGCTTTGGACAATCTAGATCTCAGCAGGTCCAAGAAAAAAGACACCACAACCTCAGGAAAATGCCCACGACAGACTGACCCCGGGACTGAGAAGCGTACCGTCAGTAGAGCTGTCCCAGAAGCAGGAACTCGCCGTGTGTAGTCCTGCTCCGTTCTTCTGCATAATTATACAGGTCACTTCAACGAAAACAACTTTCATTAGAAAGTGTACCTGGCAAAACACTTCTTTTCCTTTTTTTTTCAACACACTTCTTTTCGCCCACTTTTAGCATATGTATACTGATCACGTGGTTGATGCTCATAAAAATTACAAGGGAAGCTCGCCTGGTCCTATGACATTGGCAAACCACACCTGTCCCTTCCCTTCACTGCACACCTGGTCTATAAGCATCTGATCTGAAATCCAGTGGCATGCCTTCGATTGTTCCAGCAGCCAAACAAGGCCAGTTGATGCCAGTTCTGACCTTAAGTAAAACAATGTGCACAACACAATGACACTTCTATGGGAACTTTGAGGTTGGGTACCACACTGACACAATTCTGACACCAGACCTGCCTCTCAGCAGTATTTTAAGAACCAGCATCAATATATCCGAGAAACAAGTCCATTACCAATGTATTTGAATGGTTTTCCCAGCTTGGTGAGTTGGCTTAAAGTTTGTTCTACTACGTTTGTGGTCCACTGGTTGACTTTGCTGTGCTGGTAGGCGTTGCCACCGATGGCGCTTTCTATGGCCTGGAAAACAAGCAGAGGAGTCGCTATCAGCAGAGCGCACCCAACACCTTCCAGTTAGCACTCAAGTTCATCGCTGTTTGCATACAATGTAAGATTACTTGTATCCATAAGATCAAATACACCTTCTGTTTAATAGTATCATGTTTAAATAAGTTTTACAATTGTTTTTAAGAATTCATAATTACATGGAGGTCTACCAACATTTTGAAGCATTCTGACTTAAACCAGAAAACTTTTGTTTTTATGACAGTTACGACCTAAAATAGAAAGAAAATTCAGAGATATCAGGTTCTGTCCTGAGCACGAGAACAGTGCCGGGATCTGACTGTGCACCTTGGTGACGGCCTACTGCTGGCACAGCCCAGTGATCTTGCTTTTGAGAAACAAAAAGCTACTTAGTCACACCCTCATTTCTGTCAACAGAAATTCCTGTTTCTCCTGGGACTCCAAGGAGGCACATTAAACAAACATCATCTGGCTTCCTGCTGCCTCCCCACCATGCATTCTAGCATTTCATCACAGCTCTTTGCACTCTCTGCCACATCCCTGCCCCCTTCCAGCTCTGCATAGAGTGGGGCTGGGGCATAGGAGCCTGGTTTTGTGTACAGGGCTATTAGTTACAGATAATAAGCTGAAGTTTACTGTTCTTCAGGGAAGGAGAAAAACCTCTCTCCGATTTGACCCACCCAAATTTACTACTACCCAATACTTAGAATAGTTCGGGTTAACATCACCAGGCAAAGCTGTGGAGGCCGGTGATTGCTTCCTGGGAGACTGGGAGCTTACCTCAGCTCACCTGCTGCTGGTAACTAAGTCAAAGTGAGGCCAAAGGACCCTTCCTAACAACTCCAGTTCCCATTGGCTCAGTGTGTGGCTCATCACCTTCCTGCTCCCCACTCCTTCCCTTTGGAACACCATTTTGAAGATAAAAGTCAACTAAAAAATCACCCCAATGCTGAATAACGTATTAGAACAAAGTAATTTTGTTTTTTGATGATGTTCACAAAAACAGGTTGTGTTCTTTATCACTCTGGCAGTGATCAGTAATTCGTTTTAAGAATCCGTTTCGAATCACATACATATCCTCAGTGGTACTGTGCACCTCAGGTCATCTAATGACTTTCTTGTAGCCAACGGCTTCACTATCTGCTCAGCTCACACAGCCCGTGCCTGCCCTCAAGCACACTCCTCACCCCGCACAGGGCCTCTGCACTGCTGCCCCGCCCTGGACCGCTGGCCCCTCTGCTCTGGCTGAGTTCGTGCTGCCCCGACTCTCTGGGTCCGGCTCTGAACTCCCCCACAGCACCACCTGCTGTGCAGTGACCACGTCCCAGTGTTCTCACTGGACAACGCCTGCCCTCCCTGCCCCCAGACTAAACTCGAGGGTCAGTCCCCTGCATGCCCTCGGCTTTGTTTTAAATAAATGAAGAACAAGAATCCTTTTTTGTCTCCCATTCTCATTACCTAAGGGAAGCACCATGGTCAGTAATGACAAAGTTTAGGAATGTAAGGAAAATAAGGAAACGAGCCTCAACCCGATCACCAGGTGCTCAGTAACTGCAAGTTCAATTTTTCACATCCCTCTTTGTTCACTAGCGCTGGAAACAGTCACTTGTACACCAGGAATCTTTTATGCTAAAAGCTATACAATCAACCCAATGCTATGCTAACCTATAAAATTCCCTGTCTGGCTTAAAATACATAATTTACATAATATGGGAGTAGTTCTTATCTAGCTATTCTCTGAAGTTAAAAACTGTCATTTGAAATGCCAAACACAGGCAGGTGCGACCGAAACAGTTCCAAGACAGTGCTCACAACATTCTTTTCACTCATATAGGCCGTTAAGCGGATATTTAAAAGGCAGGCATTTCTCCTCTTACCTCTTTCACGATGTTGCTCACTTCGTCAACAACAAAAGTAGTCTGTGAGGAAGAACAGAGCAGATTCGATTTAAGAGATTCTCATCCACAGGAGCACCGGTCCATGCCAGCTTAGGTAACGAGCACACTTGGGACACGAAGACCTTCCTTCTCCCGAGGAAAACATTAGGAACTCCAACACCGGGGGCTCGGCCGGGGTCACGGGGCTCGGCCGGGGTCACGGGGCGGGAGTGACGTCAGGGGTTCCCTTTGTTTCTGTCGGAGTCACGCCGCGATCCAAAAGCCTGGCGTTAAGCTGGGACTTGGCCTCTCGGGCCGCCCCCACGGGCCGCTGGGGCCCGGGCACCAGCGCCCGTTACGCTGTCTCCGCTCCGCCGGCTCCGGCGAGACCATGAGTGCCCGCCCCGCTGGCCGGCTGGGACCCAAACTGAAATAACGGCCCTCACCCCCGGCGCGGGCGGCCGGGGCGGGGGCGCGGCCGGGGCGGGGGCGCGGGAGCCGCCGCAGACAAAGGCCGGTGTGCGGCCCGCAGCCCGGGCGTCCGCCCCGCGTCCGGAGGGCCCGGCGGGCCGGCGTGCGGGCCCGGGGCGCGGCGTGGCCGCCGGGCGTGGGCGTCCCGCGGGGCAGGGGCCGCATCGCTGCACCGAGGGGCCGAGCGGCGCGGCGGGACCGCGGCGGGCGCAGGCGTCAGTCCCAGGGTCGCCCCACCCCGGCAGGTCGAGGGCACCGGGAGGCCGCCGGGGTCACCGCGGAGCGCTCGGCAGGCCGCGCGGGGTATGGCCGCTGCGCACGTCCGGACGCGCCCAGGGGCCCCACACGCCCTTGGCTGCCGCCGCCCACCCGGCCCGGGGCTCCGGCCTCCGCCCGCCCGCCCCGCCGCAGTTACCTCTTCCGCGCTCTGATAGTCCTCCATCTTCCCGGCGTCGCCGCCGCCGCCCTGAGGGGAGCGCACTGCGCCGGCGCACTGCGGCCGGCCCGCCGACCCGCCCAGGCCCCGCCCCTCCGGGCCCGCCCACCCAGTCCACGCCCGCGCGGTGACCACGCCCTCCGCGGGCCCGCCCCTCTATGCCTACGCCCTCCTCCAGGCCCCGCCCACTCGCGCCCACGCCCGCTCCCGGGCCACGCCCTCCCAGACCCCGCCCCTCTACGCCCAGGCGGCTCCCGGCCACGCCCTCCAGGACCCGCCCCTTTACACCCAGGCGGCTCCCGGCCACGCCCTCCCCTTTGTGCCTGTCTGCGCTCCTGGTCTCCCAGGCGGCGGGTTCCGCGGGAACCCATTTGAGTGGCCCGGCAACTAGACCAGGGCAACTAACACAAAACAAATGTAAGCAAAAGCGAAATGTGATCCGTGTACAGAGCCAGCTCGGGGGGCAGAGTGGTCTGTGCCGGGAAATTTGAATGTTCAGACGGCTTGACACCTGGTGAACTGTGAGGTGACTGCGAGGCTTGATGGGCAGCCTGAGATATTAGTCCCCCTGGGGACCCAGGGTTAGGAAGCCTTGGCTCCGATAGAAACCTTCCTGTGGGGAGGCAGGTTTTCCACATAAATTCTTCTTATTTTTAAAGCACCATTTAAAAAGCATTTGGGGGGGAAGGGGGGGACTTTGTAAAACGCTGCACACGTCCAGGCTGCCTTAACCAGCATGACCTAGACCAGTGTTTCTCAAACTTCTGACCTATGTGCACCCCTTCTATAATTTTCGTAACGCTGAGCACCCCTCGTACTCATGAGAACGTAGAATTAGGCGCAGCTAAGCACGGTGCAGTGCATATCCCCACCAAACTCCGGTGCAACGCGTACCCCCACCAAACCCTTCCCGTACCCCTGGGGGTACGCGTACCACACGTTGGGAAGCACTGACGGACACTGGACCAGTGTTCGGGGTCTTTATGAAAATCAGGAATTGCTTGGGGCTCTGAGGAGGGCTGGGAGCTGTGGACCTGCCTGCATGGCGCCCGAGGCTAAGACATTTGGTTTTGGGGACTGTTTTTCTGGTGTTGCCACACCCTTGAGGTCAAGCTGTCACTCCCCACCTCTCCAAAGCCCAGTTGCTAAAACCCACTTCCCATCCCCCCTGAAGATTCGAGAATAAGCCCCGTGACTCGGCTGAACCCAGTGCAATCCATTGGCAGCCCGTGCTGTTCCCACCCTATAGAACCCTCATCTCCTTGCCGGCGGAATCTGTGCCCTCCGTTGTGCTGGCACGCAGTAGGTGCACAATGAGAATCTAGTGAATGAGTGCTTGCTTTCCACATGGATACTGGTTCTGAGAGAACTGGGGGTGGAGGAAGGTGCAATGGCCAAAACACTGCAGTCCAAGGAATTCTGTGCCGTAAGGAACAGAAAATAAACCCGTGGCTGACACATATCTGAAGTGAGAACCGTAGGCTGAGAAATTCCATGCTAATGAGATGCTGTCCGCTGGGAAACTCAGGCACCATGGGACTGAAGTGCCAACTGGAATGGCTGTTGTTCTGAGCCCCTTGGGTCCCTCCTCCTCCCAGCTCTGGCTACCCAGCCCCTTCCCTGGGGCCCCACCCCCCAGCTTAACTACTAAGGGCTATCTCCTGGCATAACAGGAACCTCCAGCTGCTATTTCTTCTGACGGTTGGTTTTTGTGCTATAACTAGAGGCCCAATGCATGAATTTGTGCACAGGTGGGGTCCGGCTGGCCTGACCCAGATGGGTGTGGATCGGGGCTGGGCCTGTTGGGAGGGGGATATGGCGGGAGGCTGGCTGGCCAGCCTGCCCCAAACAGGGCTGATTAGGGCTGGGCCAGCTGGGAGGAGGGACTGAGGGCGGTTGGCTGGATACCCCTGCCCCCTATGGGGCGGGGGTGCTGATTGGGACCAGTGGCCAGGGGGAGGAGCCATGGGTGGTTGGGTGGCCGGCCGTGCCCCTGACTGGGGACTGAGGACCGAGCCCACAATCTAGGCATGTGCCCTGATGAGGAGTCAAACTGTGACCTCCTGGTTCAACCACTGAGTGACACGGGCCAGACAGCAATCACTGTTTATCAGGAATCTCTGACCATGATCCCTGTGGCAGCGCCTGACATAGTAGAAGCACAATAAATATTTATGGATGATTGAATGAACTATAAACTACGAAGGAAGCCATGTGGCACTCACCAGGAAACAGGCTCAGGCCAAGCAGTTTCCTGAGCATCACTCAGATCTGTGACTACAAAGTTTACCCTCTGAATTCACGCTTCCCTTTAATTCACTCTAATCCTTCACTGCTCAGCATCACCTCCCACCCACCACTGCTCCTCACCGATGGAATTCACCAACTCCATCTAAAGTTGTCACCCTCAGGCCAGGGGAGAGTGAGATTTCAGAACCAAAAAGCCACACTGATGAGCAAAGCAAACCTCATTTACAGATGAGGAAACCAAGTCCCAGGAGTGTTCAGAGAGATCTAGTGACTCCACACAACACACCCCATTCTTGGTCATCAGCTGGCTTGCCGGAATCATATTCTCTCAACTGGAGTTCACACTGTATCACCCTCAAGAGTGAGTTCAAGACCCTTAAAGGAGCCCAATTAAAGGAATGAAAAAAACCAGCTCACAGAGGGAGGGAAAATATCTGCACTATAACTTATCTGACAAAGCTCTCATGTCCTGAATATATAAAGAACATCTACAAATCAATAACAGAAAGTCAGGCAACCCAAAAGGAAAACAGGCAGAAGACTTGAACAAGTCCAACATCAAAGTAGATCTCCAAATGACCAATTGTCGTATAGACTAATGCTCAGATAACTCAGCTACACAAAACATCAGGGAAATGAAAATCGAAACTGTAACATGATATCACCCCCGGCTGACCAGGATGGATGAAATGAGAAGGACCGATAACATCAGGTGTGGATGAGGATGTGGAGCAATTGGAAATTGCTGCTGGTAGGAGTGTGAGTACAACCATTTAGGAAAGCTGTGGGTGGCATCTACGGACATTAAACATAACCTGTGACACAGAGTTCCACTCTCACCCACGTGACCAACAGGAACACATACAAATACTCACCCAGGAGACTGTATAACAGTGTTTGCAGTCACTCTGTTCATAATAGCTGAACATTATAAATAACACAAGTGTCTGGCCATAGTACAATAGATCAATTTTTTAGATGTTCACACAATAAAATATAATGCTGCAATGTGAACTTCCAAGGTGCTATTAAAGTTCAGTTTCTTTTTAAAAAATAGATGTTTTATTGATTTCAGAGAGAGAGAGAAACATCAATGATGAAAGAGAATCATCCATCAGCTGCCTCCTGCACGCCCCAACTGGGATCTGGGGATGGAGCCTACCACCTGGGATGTGCCCTGACCAGGAATCAAACCATGACCATAGGTCCACGCTCAACCACCGGCCGAACAAGTTCAGTTTCTTGGTAGACGTGTTCACTTTGGGAAACCTTATCAAACTGTGCTTGTGATTTGTATCATGTTCCTGTATGTGTGCTAAACGTCAATGCAATTAAAAAAAAAGAAAAAAAGAGTCGATGCCAAAATTGTTCTAAAAGGATGTTTGCGTTGGCAGCCGGTGCTTGCGACGTAGCCGTTTACATTGACGTTCATGTGGAACCCTTGCAGGGAGGGGACGGTTGAGTATCTGGGGGGTTTCTGCTCTCTGGGGGGTTTTCTTGGTGGGGTGAGACATTTCAGTAGCACCCGCTCAGCCTTTCCTCCAGACAAAAATGGAAACTGTTGGCATCTGAGAGTTCCTGGGTGTGGTTTGGGGTGGCTTTGTTCTCGGGGCCCTGGGGGATGTGGGGTAGCCACAGAGCACGGGGTGGGGGGGGGGCAGCCGGGGGTGCACGCTTCAGCCCCGAGCCCAACAGGAAGGAAAGAGAAACACGTCAGTGGTCCTGACACGAAGCAAGATGAACTTCCCCCTCATCGGAGCGGACTCCTCTGGTCACTCCTCTCGCAGCTGAATCCAAGGCGGGCCGAGTCCGGGACAGCCGCGGGGCAGGCCGTGTGGGGGCTGGGTGAGTAGAGATGACACTACGGGAACTTCTCTTAGATCGATGGCCTCAAAAGGTGGGGAACAAAACCAATGGTAACTTAAAGAAAGGATGGCTTGTCACCTTATTGAATCGCATCCATTTGAATTCAGAATAATAATGATTTAGATGATACGGAGGACGTACGTTAGTTACTTAAAACAAATACACTACCCGTGGACGGAGTGGATTTTTTAGGCGGTGGGACAGAGTGGTCTTCCTCAGCCTGTGAGCGCTTGTATGTGTAGGTTATTACTGATCTGCTCTGAGTCTGCTGCATGAATTCCGTTTGTTTGGATCAACCATAATCCTCAGTTTGGAGGGGGAATAGAAATACAATTTTAAAATTAAAAAAAGTTAAATTGGCTGGGGTCTAATTTAAATTTCTTTCAAGTAAACTTCCTTAATGCGCACACAAATTCCTTGATGTGAGGAGAGATTCCGCGAGGAAAACGCACAGCAGATATTGAGGCTCCATTGAGCTGGAATTGGTGTAGAAAAAGTTACCCGGCCAAGGTCGTGGGAGAGTCTAACTTCAGAACTTCTCTGCCCAAACCAAGCAGAAGGCTTTGGAGATCCATGGACCCTGATTAGAATGTGACTTCAGGTAAATCACTTAATCACTCTGAGCCTCGCTCTTCTCATCTGTAAAACGGGTGCGCTTACTCCATGACGTTTGCTGTGTGTTGAAATGAGGATTGAGGTGTGCAAAATGCGTGTCACACTGTCTGGCCCAGAGTAAGCGCTGAATAAATCATGGCTGTTGGTACAGTTGTAAGTGGTAATGACAAGTCCCTATGACAGTAACATAACATTAATTCTCATGTCTTTACCCTTCCGGAAGAGGATGTCAAGTATAAGCCATGAAACTCATGGACGCCTGTGTCAGTGTTTTACTCCGATTCTACAACAGTATGGGTGGGGGGAGAGGGGGGGGGAGGCAATATGCCCTCCTGCCTGGGCAGAGAGAGCGGGATCAGCGATGCGCTGGGTGGGCTTTGAAATGGTCACTTCTCACCGTGGGTGGAGAATTCTTAAAGAAAACAGATACAGAACGAGGTGCCAGGCCTTGGCAGGGCGTGCGGGTGGGGGGCGCCAGGCTGGCGCTCATGGCTCTCAGCACACCCCCCTCTGACTGAGTGACCGTACAGAAGAGGAATTCATTCACGCAGGTGTCCGTTCGGGCCGGACTCTGTGCCCACCGCGCACGCAGGTCGCCTGGCCTTTGCAACAATGAACCTGTCGCCTGTGCCCGTCTGAGCCAGGCGGGGGAACCACAGGGGAGAGCGTGGCTCTCCACGCACCCCCTTCCCAGGTGAGGCCGCTCTGTGGCCGTCGCTGCTTCCGTGAGGAGTGCACACGCGGCCCCTCAAGGTCACCTTGGCCCCCACCTTCCCCAGCACCGGGCTGTGCTCTCAGCCCTGCAGCTGCTCGAGGAAATGGCTGTGGCCAAGTCCCCGCGGCTCCTGAGCCTGCGGTTCGGGGCTCTGAGAACGGCTGTCATTTCCCCTGCGAGCCGGCAGCGGCAGCGATGACGCTCCCGTTCACACACGCCTCCACCCCCCAATGCGCCACATTTCCACCCGGCAGGTCAGTGCCCTCCCCCGCCAGGCTGGAGTCTCTCTCTCCTTTATTTCAGGGCCAGCTGCTCAGAGCTGGCAGGAGGAGGGAGAATGGGGGGGGGGGGGGCACAGCCTGTGGGTAGAACATTTGCTTTCCCATCCTCCCCTCCCAGCCTCTCATTTCTTGTACTCCCTCCACCCCCACCCCCCACCTTGCTCCAGCAAGTTCTACAAGCAAAATGCAAGTGCTCTTAGGTGGAGGGAAGGAAGCAAGCACGTGATTGGGTATCTGGTTCCCCTGGCAGAGTACCCCGGAAGCCCCCTGGCCCCCTCACCCTCTCCCCCCACCCTTCGCATCTCCCCTGTCCTGTGGGAGCACCCCTTCTCTGTGGAGACTCGAGGATTTCATACTCTCCCTACGTGCAGTCACTTGTTTGCTGGCTGCAATGTGAACTTTTAAAAAATATATATATATATTTTTTTATTGATTTTTTTATACAGCGGAAGGGAGAAGGAGAGAGAGTCAGAAATATCGATGAGAGAGAAACATCGATCAGCTGCCTCCTGCACACTCCCCATTGGGGATGTGCCCGCAACCAAAGTCCATGCCCTTGACTGGAATTGAACCTGGGACCCTTGAGTCTGCAGGCCGACACTCTATCCACTGAGCCAAACCGGTCAGGGCTACCATGTGAACTTTTAAAAATCTTTATTTTTACTGATTTCAGAGAGGAAGGGAGAGGGAGAGAGAAAGAACAAGAGAGAATCATGGATCGGCTGCCTCCTGCACGCCCCACACTGGGGATGGAGCCCACAACCCGGGCAGGTGCCCTGACCAGAAGTGGAAGCATGACCCCTGGTTCGTAGGTCGTGGGCTGTGACCTTCCCGAGTGTGGGGACCGGGTCTTTCTTGCTCTGGAGCCTCCCTGCCGCGTGCCCATGGGGAGCAGGCGGGTAACATCGGGCTGTTGGCCGGCTGGGCTCCCCCGGGGCGGTGCACACCGTGCCTGTCCGGATGCCCGTCCCACTGCGCCTGCAGGACTCCCCACGGTCAGTGGGGATGCAGGGACTGGAGGACAGGCTGGGTTTGGGGGCCCCCACCCCACCCCTGCTGCCCGCATTGCTGCAACCCCAGACAGAGCGGCTCCCTGGCCTCGCTGGAGAGAGGGAGAGGAAGACGGGCAGCTGGGAACACGCCCGGCCTCCTCGCTCTGTCCCAGCTGGTGGGCAGAGGGCTGGGCCCGGCGAGGCTGGGTCCGTGTTTGAGCCCGACTGACGCCCCGATCTCCGCGGCGACGGGCCGGTTCGGGGTAAATCTCCGTGGCCGGGGAGACCTCCATCAGAGTGGTGCTGGGGTGTCGGTGTCCCCCAGTTGTAGGTTCTGTTGGCCACTCACTGTATTTCATTTTATGCGTTTAAATAGGGAAGGTTGTCCACCTTTAAATATAAAGACTTAAAGAAACAAGGGTTAGGAGTCACTGCTTAGAGAGAACAATCAATCCTTGGGCTCACTCACCGCTCCCCCCCGCCCCCATTCTCGGAGGGTCGCAGGGACGACAGTGGGGTTCTGTAGGGGGCCCCGGGGTTCAGCCTCTCCTGCACTCGGAGGCAGTGCCGTCACGAAGGCCTCACGGAGGTGTGATGACAGAGCGGCGCTGTGGGAAGACATCCACTCCATTGGGCTACCCCTTCCGCGTTCCATCATGGCCTCCGCCCGGCGTCTCAGCCATGCCCAGCCCCTTCCCGGTGCGGGGAAGCAGCCTGAGGGGACGGTGCCTGCGGCCACTGGTTCGGAGCAAACAGGAGTAGGTGCAGTGCGGGCAGAGCCTTTCCACGCGCGTTCGCAGAGACAGGACCACCCGGGCAGCTGGTGGAACCACGAGGCCCACATGTGACTGACAGGCTGGGGCCGCGGGCCCGCCTCTCCAGCCTCCCTAACCGTCACCTTTTTGAGTCCTGAGGTTAATTGTAAAAACAATAGCTGGCCCCGGAGATTGCTCTGCTGATGTGTCTTCAATGAGGAGGACGGTATTGAACACAGACCCCCCCCCCCCCCCCCCACCTCTGACCGCTGAGGAGGCAGCAGTCAAACCAGGGAAAGTGAGTTCAGGAGTTGGAGGCCTTTGGAAACACGAGGCCAACTTAGTAAGATTTAAAATCTCCCGACGCCTCCGGGCAGAAGACCCAAGGGCTGCCCGGGAGGAACGCGCTGTCCCGGAGGCGAGGCTGCAGGCCACCGGCGGGCGCCTGACCGCTGTGATTCTCTCCCCAGGCACTGAGCCGGCTGGCTTCCGCCCTCCTTCCTGGCGACCGACCAGCAGCTGTTTGCCGGGGACAGTTGGCCTCTGAGTCACGGACACCTCCCTGCTTCCAGTTTACCCCTCAGATCAGAGATTGCATCTGCTTCGCAGAAGTTATCTGCGTGCTGGGCCCGTGCCCCCTCGAGCCCGCTGGCAAGCCCTCGGAGAAAGACACGCCAGAGGCTGCGGCGGGCCCGTGAGAGCGCCCGGGGGGCGAGGCTCTCCGTCTCCCGTCCGTCTGTCCGTCCGTCCGTCCGTCCGTCGAGGAGGGCGACAGTTACAGAGAAGCAGAGCCACGGGCAGCGGGCGCCAGGGAACGGAGCGGGAGCGCTGCCCAGAGCAGACCGCGGGCTGCTGGGCACGGCCCCTCCCCGCACAGGGCGCCGGCCGAGCAGGGAAGCTCCCCCCGTCCACATCCAGGACGCGGCGGCGAGATGGCCCAGGAAGTCAGCCTGAACGCCCTGCAGGAGCCGGAGCGGGAGGCCATCCTCCGGGTGCTGCACCGGGACCGCGCCCTGCAGAGCATGGAGGAGGAGCGGGTCCGGTAGGTGCCCTGGAGGGTCCTGGGGGAGGGCTCTTCCTGTGGGGCTGCCCGGGAGCTTGGCATATGGCTCCTCGCTCCCCGCGTCCGCTGGTCTGACAGGTGCCCCCGGGCGGCGGGGGCAGGCCGGGCACAGAGGCTGCCTTGGCTGCTCACTTGGAATGGTGCCGCTTGGGGGCACCTCTGCCTGCCTTGCAGGAGTAACTCCAGGGCAGCTGGCAGGCTCCCAGCACCCCCCGGGGCAGGGTCTTCCTGACTTCTTTTTCGTGGCCCCCGAAGGCACAAGGAAGGAAGCAGCTGAGAAACAGCACATTTACTGGGATCCATCCCTGTCTTTTCTTCCTTCTTTTCCTCTTCTATTTTTATTACTTTCCTTCTTCTATTTTTTTTTCCTCACTTTGGCGTGAGGAAAGGAGGAGGAGGAGGAACCTGCCCTGCCTGCTCCGGCCGGTTTGCAGCTCTTTCCTCTCGGCCTCCGTCTTTGCACAGCTGTTTGTGGTCAGGTAACAGCTAAGGAGGCAGAGCCGTGCCCACCGCCAGCTGGCAGGCCCCGCCTTCGAGTGGGGCGGGGGCTCAGGATGCCGATGCTCGTCCGTCCACGCTGTGGGCGGCGTGAGGGCGAGGCGGGCGGTGAAGGCGGGCTGCGGCCGGGAGCACACGCCCAGCGCACCCTGCGGACCGGTGCCGAGGGGGGAGGGAGGCGGACTGCCACCTGGAAGGAGGGTGTTCCTAGTCCTCACCTGCTCGCCCCAGACTCTGCTGGACTCACTCTTCCCTCCAGAGAGCACTGGAGCAGCTGAGCACGGGCTTCTCTGATGGTGGGAGATCCCTCCGTGGCTCAGTGGTTCAGAGCAGCGGTTGCCACCCTTTCGGGCCTCACGGACCGCCTGAGGGTGACCGCTGGTCAGTGTCGCTTTGGGAATCCACGGAGAACGAGGCCCTGGGGCGGGACAGTGTGTTCTGAGACCCCGGTTCTGGGAGAGGCTGAAGGGGGCTGTGCGCTTGGTCCTGGAATTGGCTTCTCTCTCCTAAGAGCAGCTCACAGACATTTCAGAGAGAGAGTCCTGGTGAAGGGCCCGTCCTGGGTCCCATGGGATCGATCGCCCTCGGCCCCAGGGCTGCTGCCGGGGGGCGTGGCCACCGGAGGAGACGGACGGTCAGAGCAGAGCATCCGTGAAGCCATCGCACTGGCACTGAGGACAGTACAGGCAGGCACGGGGGTGTCCCAGGCCTCCGTGCCTGGCCCGGTGCACTGGGTGTCATATTCCGCGTTTTACTCCTCCTCTCCTCTCCCTGACCTCGCCTGTCACTTTAATGCGCTTTGGGCGCGAAGGGGTGAACCCAGACATTCCGCAGCTAACTCCTGTGCCAGGCCTCTTTCTTTCTTTCTTTAATGCATTTTATTGATTTCTCACAGAGAGGAAGGGAGAGTGACAGTCAGGAACATCAATGAGAGAGAAACATCCATCAGCTGCCTCCTGCACGCCCCCTACTGGGGATGTGCCTCCAACCAAGGTCCATGCCCTTGACCGGAATCGAACCTGGGACCCTTGAGTCCGCAGACCGACACTCTATCCGCTGAGCCAAACCGGTTAGCGCCGTGCCACGCCTGTTGCTTATGCTTTGCCCTTCGCCCTCCCAGCAGCCCCGGGTGAGGTTCTCCGGTCCCAGTTTCACAGTGAGAGCCCTCTGTGCCTCCGGAGGGGCCGTGGCCGCCCGGGGGGCGCGGGGAGGGTGTGCGGCCCTGCGGGTCTGACCGCCCTCTCCGCAGGAAGCTGAGGGCACGCCTGCAGCAGCTGCGCTGGAGAGGCGGGCGGGGCCCGCGGCCCCCGGAGAAGGCGTGTGCCCGCTGCCGGAGCGCGCTGGGGCTGCTGCTGAACCGCGGCGCCGTGTGCCCGGGCTGCAGCCACTGCGTGTGCCCCGCCTGCCGCGTGTTCCTGAGCCGGCCCCGCCTCTGGAGGTGCACCGTGTGCTACGAGGGCAGGTGAGCAGGCGGCGCCCGGGCGGGGGCCGAGGCCAGCCCCAGGTTCAGGGGCGCGTGGTCGCCCAGGCCACCGCGGGGCGGACTCCTGAGACTCGGAGGTCACTGAGATGCAGCTGTCCGCTGTGAACCGGGGCGGACGGAGCTTCGCTGCCGGGGACGCGTGCCCGGCCACCCTACCCCGTCGGCGCGAACGGGCGGCCCCCTCCCTCCTCTCACGCAGGAGGGCTGGCCTCAGTCTCCCTAAACGTCCATCCCTGCCCCAGGCCTGACGCCGCTCAGCCGCTCTCCCGGGACAAGAGCAGCCTCACCCGATGCCCCAAGTCCATTGTCAGGAGCGGCCTGCCCCCCCTCCCCCCCCCCCGCGTCTCCGGTTCCTGGGTTTGGGGAGCCAGGCCTTGGGCCTTCCTGGGCTGGAGAGGGAAAAGCAGAACCACCGTGAGCCGCGGCCACACCTGTGCTCGCTCCTGCAGGTCGGGGTTCTCGTGTGTGTGTGTGTGTGTGCGTGTGTGTGTGTGTGTGTGTGTGTGTGAGTGTGTGTGTGTGTGTGTGTGAGTGTGTGTGAGTGTGTGTGTATGTGTGAGTGTGTGTGAGTGTGTGTGTGAGTGTGTGTGTGTGTGTGAGTGTGTGTGTGTGTGTGTGAGTGTGTGCGTGTGTGTGCGTGTGTGCGTGTGTGTGTGAGTGTGTGAGTGTGTGCGTGTGTGCGTGTGTGTGTGTGTGTGTGTGTGAGTGTGTGTGAGTGTATGTGTGTGTGAGTGTATATATGTGTGTGAGAGTGTGTGTGTGTGAGTGTGTGTGAGTGTGAGTGTGTGTGAGTGTGAGTGTGTGTGTGAGTGTGTGAGTGTGTGTGTGTGTGTATGTGTGTGTGTGTGTGAGCGTGTGTGTGTGCGTGTGTGTGTGTGCGTGTGTGTGTGTATGTGTGTGTGTGTGTGTGAGTGTGTGTGTGCGTGCGTGTGAGTGTGTGTGTGTGTGTGTGTGTGTGTGAGTGTGTGTGTGTGTGAGTGTGTGTGTGTGTGAGTGTGTGCGTGTGTGTGAGTGTGTGTGTGTGTGCGTGTGTGAGTGTGTGTGTGCGTGTGTGTGTGCGTGTGTGCGTGTGTGCGTGTGTGTGTGTGTGTGTGCGTGTGCGTGTGCGTGTGCATGTGAGTGTGTGTGTGTGTGTGTGACCACAATTCATTCCAAAAATGCCTCGGAAGATGGAACGCTCTTCCTGTTTTATCAACCGTGCATGTTTGAGGTCTAGTGATGGACACTGCGGGGCAGGCATTCTGTTCTTCAGGAATTTTCTCCTCATGGTGAGCTACAGCAAAAAGTCAAAACAAAGGTGTGTGTGGGGGGTGGGGTGGGGATAGGGGGCCGAGGCCGCCTCCCAGGGAGGGCCGTGGAGATCCCCGCCCCGCCGTCGCCCGGTGCTGAAACGCTGCCCTCTGAGCCGCCTGGTGTGATTTCTGCAGCCCCAGCTTCCTCCTTTTGAAACAAAGATGTTTTCCCAACACTTAAGACAGCTGCAGCGCCCTGAGTGGGCTGCTTCGGACGGGAGAGCGAACTGATCTCTGACATCCTGCTCCCCCTTTCTCTCTGCTCCTTTCTTCCAAACCCTCTGTGCTCGCTCTGGCCCGTCCACTCTGGGCTGCCGTCCCCTTTTTGTTTGTTTGTTTGTTTGTTTTAATCCTCTCCTGAGGCTGTGCTTTTCAGTAATTCGAGAGAGAGAGAGAGAGAGAGAGAGAGAGAGAGAGAGAGAGAGAGGACTGGAGAGGAAGAGAGAAAGAGAAGCTTCTATGTGAGAGAGAAACATCGATCAGTTGCCACAACCTGCAACCCGGCATGTGCCCTGACTGGGAATCAAACCCACAGCCCTTTGGTGCATGGGATGGCGCTCTAACCACTGGGAACACCGGCCAGGGCATGGCCACCCAAAGAAGGCCCGGTGAACCGTTAGAACATTTACATTCGTAACTGGACTGGGGCCTGAGGGGGGCTAGAGCCCCGTCCGTCCCTCCGCCTGCTTCTTCCTCGGCCTGAGACCTGCTCCCCAGAACCGGTGGGTCTGTACTGCGGGCACAGGACGAGGGACCGGGAAAGGCGACGCTCTGGGCGGCCATTGAAAAGCAGCAGCGGCGGCTCACCCCGCTCACAGTGCTGGCCTGGGCAGGGGCGTCCGGGAGCAGCGAGGGTTGCCTTCAGGGCAGGTGTCCCCGGGGACCGCAGGGCACCCCTGGTTCCAGCGCGGCTGGGGGAGGCGGGAGGAGGGATGGGACGGCCATGGGAGGAGAGGGATCAGCCCGGGGCGGTGAGGGCTGCCCACCACTCACTGCGAGGGCGGGCACCCTCCTGGGCACCGAGTGTCTCCTTAAACCTCGGGCGGGGCTCTGGGGCGGCCCTGCTGTTCTCCTGCCTCCAGGCGGGGACACAGCTGGGAGACCCCGGAGAGCTGCCCACGGCCGTGAGGTCAGAAAGACTAGAACCCGGTCTCCCGCCCGCCCCCTCTGCCCCGCCTGTCCTGTCTGCGGGGAGCTCCCTGTGGGGGCAGAGTCTTCAGAGCCACGGGAGTAGGGCCCAGAGGGAGACCTAGGGCTTTGCCGAGGAAACCCAGGAGAAGGGGCTGTGGCCGGGGCCTGGGAGGGGGGATAGGGAACGGCCACGTGGAAGTCCTTGTAGTGAAGCCAGACTGAGGCGGTGAGGCTGGCAGCGGCAGAGACAACAGAGAGCCGGCCGGCGTGCTCAGGGGCTGAGCACCAATCTGTTCACCAGGAGGTCAGGGTTCGAGTCCCTGTCAGGGCACAGGCCCGATTGCTGGCTCGGTCCTCAGTAGGGGTGCGCAGGAGGCAGCCGATTTATGATTCTCTCTGACCCTTGATGTTTCTATCTCTCCCTCTCCCTTCCTCTCTACAATCAGTAGAAACATCAAGAAGAGATAGAACAGCAGACAGTTCAGCAAAGGGGTGGGGTGTGGGAAAGAGTTCTGGGGGAGAAATGAGGGCACCACACCGCCGAGGTCGGCAGGTTATGGCAGCCCAAGGCCTTGGTTCATGGGCCCGTGCTCTGCCCCAGCCTTAGCAGGGCAATGTGAAGCCGGTGCGTGGGCTCTGATTGGCACAGCGCCCCCCCTCCCCGCGCCTCATTCCCAGCGGCTCCCCCACTTCCCGTGGCTCCGGGGCGAGTGTGTGAGCAGCCGCGGGTCCGAGGGCAGGATGCGTGGCCGACCTCAGGGCACCGTCTCAGGCTCCCCCGGTGCCGGTCCCCCCCGGTCCCTCAGAGTCCCAGGGGCCCTGCCCACGTGGGGACGTCCATTCACTGCCCACCCACCCGTCTTTCCGGCCACGGCCTCCGTCCGCCTGGGGCTGTGCCTGCCGCACCAGCAGGACCGGCGGGTCGTCCCCTCGGGGTCAAGCCGAGGTGGAGGCGGCTCCGTGCAGCCAGGCTCCTCCAGCGGCCGAAGCGCACCTTCCGTGCGGCCTGCGCTGCCCAGGGCCCTGACGGCTCCCCAGGGCCCTGACGGCAGAGCAGCCTCCAGCCCGGCTCATCCAGCGCTGCTAGGCCCAGCCGGCACCATCCTGCACGCGTGTGTCCCGCGAAAACCATTCTCCTTCGCTGTCTACGATGGTTCCCACGTACAAAGCGTCAGCGAGGCCCCGCACCAGCCGGCCCCCTGATCGCAGCGCCGCCACCGGAAACAGGCTGATGGAGGCGATTAAACCCTAGGCAACCGGAGTGGGGCGAGAGCGTGGTGCTGAAGATAAGGAAACGGGTTCATGGCTGCCCCACCACGGCCCACAGAGCACTGACGCCCTCCTCCCCTGACCTCGGGGAGCCCCGCTGGCGTGGCTGTCAGAGCCCCAGGATGGGCCGGGGAAGACGTGGGGGGGTGGGGGGCAGGAACACCGCGCTGACGTGCCTGGGCAGGAGCAGGGACAGCGGCCCCTCCTTCACAGCGACCAACCTGGTGCCAGTGCTCGTGCCCCCGCAGGCCATGCCGCTCCCTGCCTGCTGCCAGGGCCACGGCCAGACCAGCTAGGGCTGTCTGATCATGGTGCCGCGAGCATCCGTGTGCTGGGATGGATGGTGCCGTGAGCATCCGTGTGCTGGGATTGATGGTGCGGTGAGCATTCATGTGCTGGGATGGATGGTGCAGTGAGATCTGTGTGCTGGGATGGATGGGGCCCTGAGCATCCATGTGCTGGGATGGATGGTGCTGTGGGCATTCATGTGCTGGGATGGATGGTGCTGTGAGCATCCGTGTGCTGGGATAGATGGTGCTGTGAGCATCCGTGTGCTGGGATGGATGGTGCCGTGAGCATCCGTGTGCTGGGATGGATGGGGCCCTGAGCATCCATGTGCTGGGACTGATGGTGCTGTGAGCATCCGTGTGCTGGATTGCTGAGCACTTTCAGCGCGGCTCCCCGTGTGCTCAGGAGGTGACGGCAGCAGCGGAGCCCCAGGCGAGGACGTGGAGGGCCCCCAGGAGCTGATTGGGGCGTCTGCGCCCCTGTGCTCGCCGGTCATAGTGACAGGGACCCGGATGCAGTTAGTGGGAAGGCCAGACCCGAAAGAACTCAGGCCCCTGCCCCTCCGTCTGCCCCCCCCCCACCCCCCCCAGTTCTTACTTAAACCCTGTGCCCTTTTGGTTGATGTGAGGAGCTTTAGGGAAGCGAGGCGTGGTTCTGTTCGGGATGTAACGGCTCAGCCCGCGCTGCCCCAGAAACTGTCCCAGCAGCTTCGTGGCCACATTCCGGCCGGCCAGCGGGACGAGAGAGGAGCCCTCCTTCGGCCCCTGGGGCTCGCTTCCCGGGGCCCGGCGAGGACAGGGCGAGGGTGCTCGCCTGTCTCAGGCCGCAGCAGCGTGGATAACCTCACCCGGGAGCCTCCGCGGAGCCGAAGGGCGGGGAGAGCTGCTCGCAGTGCGCGCAGGGGACAGCGGCTGCGGCCGCGTTTCCCCGGACGGGAGTGAGGGGGGCAGCACAGAGCTGGGCGGTGAGCACCTGCGGCTCCTGTACACATCACACAGGTCACACACACTCTGCTGCCAACCGGGAGCCGCGGAGGTGGGGGCTGGGTTGCAGGTTTGAACCCCGAGGTCCTGGCCAGACGGACACTGCGGGTGCCCCCCTCCTGTGAGGGCCACGGCCCAGCCCACGCTCCCCTCTGCTGCTTTTCAGAAACGTGAGGATCAAAACCGGAGAGTGGTTCTTTGAGGAGCGGGCCAAGAAATTTCCAGCCGAAGGTAAATGCTCTCAAAATCTTCACTACGTTAGAAATCACAAGTGCCTCGTGTTAAAATATTCGGTTTAAAGCTTTTGAATAGAAATCGCTTCACAGTGGGGGTGACAGCATCGATGCCCCGTCCTCCTGGTGCTCCTGTCCGAGCCCCCCCCACCCCCACGTGCCCACCTTGGATCGCGGTGTCTGCCCCTCTGCCCCAGGTCCCCGAGCCTCCCTGACGCCGGCTCCCGGGAGCCAGGTCTCCCTCCTCCACACGCAGAACCTGTGCCCTGAGCCCCGTTAGCCCCTCGCAGCCTGAGCACAAAGCCTCGTGCAGGAAGCAAAAGCTCGATCGAGGCGACTGCGTGAATGACCGAAGGTGCGCGTGGGCGGGGTGGAACCGGGCAGACGCCTGCGGTTATGGGCCACGGCCGCGGGTGGGAGGGGTGCTCGGTCTGTCTGACGGGCCGGCATGGCATATAAAGGAGTCCCGAAGTCGGCGTGAGGTGTGACCAGGTGCTGGGCCCAAACCCGGTGAGACCTGCAGTGCCGGGCACGGAGGTGCCCGCCGGGGGCCGCGGCAGATGAGAGCGCCCACAGGGGGCCGGCCCGGCACCACCCGGTGCAGTGGGCACAGTGCTGAGGGCGGCACCACCCGGCGCAGTGCCAAGGGCATCACCCGGCGCAGTGCTGAGGGCACCACCCGGCGCAGTGCTGAGGGCACCACCCGGCGCAGGGCCGAGGGCACCACTCGGCGCAGTGCCGAGGGCACCACCCATCTTTTCCGAGTCCAGCTCGGCTAGAGAGCGGTCTGGTTCCTGAGTAGGGGCGGCTGGGGATTGGGAAAATGAAAGAAAGAGACAGACACAGAGACGGAAGGAAAGCTGGGGCCGGGTGGGACCATTGCTTCTGGAGAGACAGGGACCCAGAGCCGTACAGGGTGTTTATTTTATACCCCAAATACCAGGGTATAAAATGCCTTCCCAGGCGCTCTCTATAGAAGACAGAGGACTGCGGTGCCTTAAGAATGTTTTTAAAAAATATATATTTTATTATTTTTTACAGAGAGGAAGGGAGAGGGACAGAGAGCTAGAAACATCGATGAGAGAGAAATATCGACCAGCTGCCTCCTACACACCCCTCACCGGGGATGTGCCCGCAACCAAGGTACATGCCCTTGACCGGAATCGAACCTGGGACCTTTCAGTCCGCAGACCGATGCTCTATCCACTGAGCTAAACCAGTTTTGGCAAGAATGATTTTTATTGTGGTAGAGCACATGTAGCGTTAAACTCACCATTGTAACCACAGTTAGGTGTATAGTTCAGTGACATTAACTATAATCACATTGTTGTGTAACCATCACCGCCATCCATTTCCAGAACTTTCTATCCTCCCACTCGGATACTCTGGTGCCCATTAAGCAGTAACTCCTCTTCCCCAACCCCTCCCCGAAGCCCCCGGTCACCTCTCTCCTACTTTGTCTGTCTCTGGACATGGCGTGGCTTCAGAGCTCAGGCGCTCTCATTTCTGCCCCATCCCAAGCTCTCTGCAGGGCGGGAGACAAGAATGGCCGTATGTGACTGACTGTCTGCAGGTTTCCATCTTGCCTTATAATTTCATTTTGCATAAGCGTGTCCTTGAGCTACTGAGACTTCTCCTAAAACGTCCTTGAACGTAGACAAGGTGCAAGAAACAGTCCCAAGAGGAAGAATCCATATGAATTGTGGCAGCTTGTTACGCTAACTCTCCAGCCATTAACAAGATTCAGAATCAGGAAAACTGAGCCCCAGTCCCTTATTTCGCAGGGAGATGGTACATACGGCCTTTAAAATATCCTCCTTTCCATGTTTCTTTTCTGGTTGTAGGCTGCTCTTCCCTCTAAGACTTTGTAATTCGATGTTTAGTGTTGTCTTTAAATGGCTTCTTCCCTGCAGTGGTCTGGCTCCTCCAAGGTGCGTGAGGAAGGTGGGACCGTAGGCGCTGGCCTGCACCCGGGCACTGTCCCTCCCGCTTTCCCCTGCTCTCCTCCCCCCCCACCGCCACGGGCCCCCCCCCCCACCACCACGGGGCACCCCCCCCCCACCACCACCACGGGGCACCCGCAATCTATGCACAGAAGGTGTTTCCTGAGGCTCCGGGATCAGCTCTGAACTATTTTCACTTCCAAGTTCCTGCCTCGTGGGACCAGGTGGGACCAAGAGTGTGCATTTCACTCGCTCCCAAGTCATTGTTCTCACCGCTGTACGTCTGAGAGCCGCTGGGAAAGCAGCGGAGTTAATGCAGTTGCTAAGGTCACTTTCTACATCCCGGGATCTAGGAACCTGAACCCAGACCTTCATTCTCACCCCTGGGTACTTGCTAAGCATGTGGAGATAGCGCCCTCTCCTGGCTCCATGCTGTAAATGCGTATATTTCGCAGCCGTGACGTGTTTGTGTGTTGTTTTTATTTTTATTTATTTATTTATTTATTTATTTATTTATTTATTTATTTATTTATTTATCTTTACAGAGAGGGAGAAGGAGAGGGAGAGGGAGAGAGAGCTAGACACATCAACGAGAGAGAAACATTAAACAGCTGCCTCCTGCACACCTCCTACTGGGGATGTGCCCGCAACCAAGGTACGTGCCCTTGATCGGCATCGAACCCGGGACCCGTCAGTCCGCAGGCAGACACCCTATCCACTGAGCCACACGGTCAGGGCCAGAGATTCTCATTCACTGGAAGCATCCAGAACCGCTGCTGGTAGAGTAGCGGGAACTCAGTCACAGGGAAACTTACTCTTCTCTCCTGCGCAGAGCAGGTGGCCCAGGCGCGGTGAGGCTTCCTCCACAGGAAGTCTGTGCTGTGAGAGGCATCCGCTGCGGAGTCCTGGCGGCGACGTCGGCTCCCTCACCCTGGCCAGTGTTTGGGCCGGGCTATCTGAGCTCGAAACTCCTCTGAGGACTGACATCTGCCTAACGGCTCCGGAGTCCCAGTCTGAAGCCATTTATGACAGGACACCATGATTCTTTACTGGTTTTAGGTCAACGTTTTTGAAAGATTTTACATTTTGCATATGTGAGCCAAAGATTGATTCAAAACCTTACTGTCCGAAGCTGTAATTGTCCCCCCCCCCCCAGTTTTATCCGTCCACCTGGTTCTGGCCCTCCAGAGGACGCTGGTGTGGGGCCCCCCTCGGCCTGTCGCGTGTAGGTGGGCCCTGCACCGGAAGCCAGGGCAGGACCGGGGCGGGTGGGGTGGGGGGGAAGGACCCTTCCTCCAGCAGCCGCCTCTGGGGGGGCCTGCAGGAACATCCTTTTCTGAGCATTTCCCTCCGGGAGGTGATTTCTTTTTAACACTAACAAGGAAACATGTAGTGCTTGTTAAGGAAATGGTGTATAATATAAGAAACAACTAAGGAACAGAAGAGAAAGAAACTGAAAATAAATGGCAAATCAGACAGAGCCACGGGGCAGGCTTCTGAGGTTCAGCGCCAGGTTCTGATTCTGCAGGCGGGGCCCGGGGCTCTGCATTGCCGAGGAGCGCCCCCTGCTGCTGGGGAGACCCTGGCCCACACCTGGTGTAGCAGGGACACGGCAAACCAGGACACGTCAGCCCAACCGGGCCCTCCGCCTGGTGTCTGTCCTGTGAGCTGAAAAGGGGTTTCACGTTTTTAAATGGTCAAAAAGTCAAAAGAATGTTTGTGACATAAAAAGTGTATGAAACTCGGTTTCAGTGTCCAGTTTTATCAGCTCCCAGGCACACCGCTCTTTAATGTTGTCCATGATTGCTGTCACGGGGCAGTGAAGGACTTGGGACAGAGACCCTGCATGACAGGGAACCTAAAATGTTTACTAGTTGACCTTTACAGAAAGCTCACCATCCTAGCCTGGTTGCTCAGTGGTTAGAGAGTCGGCCTTCGGATTGAAGGGTCTGGTCAATGGTACATGCCTAGGTTGTGGGCTCGATTCCCCGTAGGGAGCGTGCAGGAGGCAGCCGATCAGTGGTTCTCTCTCTCATCATTAGTGTTTCTATCTCTCTTTCCCTCTCTCTCCCTCTCTGAAAATATCATATATATATATATAAAGATTAAGCCGAAACCAGTTTGGCTCAATGGATAGAGCGTCGGCTTGGGGACTGAAGGGTCCCGGGTTCAATTCCGGTCAAGGGCATGTACCTTGGTTGCGGGCACATCCCCAGTAGGGGGTGTGCAAGAGGCAGCTGGTCGATGATTCTCTCTCGTCGATGTTTCTAACTCGCTATCTCTCTCCCTTCTTCTCTGTAAAAAATCAATAAAATATATTTAAAAAAATAAATAAATAAAAAAGAAAGGGTGCACCCAACTCGTAGGCCAAGGTTGCAGTAGCCAGCAGGGGGCAGCAGAGAGCTGTCTCCAGTCCAGTGTTGCCCTCAGGCTGGGTCATTAGAACTGTGGCTGGGGTGGAAACGCCTGGGCAGTTAGCAGGAGATGAAGGGGGTAGGTAGGAGTGAGTAGGCAAAGCCCAGGGCAGGTAGGGCAGTAAGAAGCAATTCTGTTGCTGGAGCAGAAAGACAGGCCTGAGGGGTGTTGGGGAGCTGGCAGAGGCAAGGCCAGGCGGTGCGGAGGCGTGGACTTTAGGAGGAGGCAGTAGGGAGCCACTGAGGGTGGTAGAGTGATAGCAGCGCATCTGGAGGACGGACTGGAACTGGTGGCTGTGCCCCTGGGGCGCTGTTAAAACAAACAAGCCAGGGTCCAGAGGCTGAGGCAGAGCAGCCGCCTGCAGGTGACACCGCCCGACGCGGGAGGCTCCACGTGTGGGCACCGAGCCTGGGTTCGGGCTTGGCCGGCAGGCTGGAGCCACAGTGCTGTTCTCTCTTCCTCTGGCCCGTTTCTCTGCGGTCCCGGCCGCCAGGACGCCGTTTTCGCTCCTGCTGGGACCGTGGCTCCCGTGGACGTGGTCTCGCCTCTGCAAGCTGGTTTTGCTGGCTCGTTTCTGTCGCAGGGAGTGTGTCTTCATGGAGGAGGGTGCGCAGACTGCTTTTAGGATCAGTGAGCACCATGACCCCCGGGAATGTGCGCGGGCAGGGGGCTCCGCCTCTGAGAGGCTGGCAGGCCTGTCCTCCCTGCAGGCCCGCCCAGGGAGGACTGACCAGGCTGCACAGTTCAGAGTCGGCTAGGGGTTAGCGGGCAGCTGACTGAATGTCAGACCTGTCTGCCCCTCCCAGAGGCCTCCCTGCCCATCCTGCTTCTCTCACCACCTGCCCTCCTCCTGTCCCACGGAGAGGACGTGAGTACGTGCCATTCTTTGGAGTCAAACCTCCCGAACGCTCACGATGGGAGCTTGACAGACTCCTGGACGGCAGGCCGGTGGCTCTGGCTGGTGTTGGGCAGCGTGGACCCTCAGGGCTGTGCCCTGAGCAGGGACACTGCCTTCCGCCCCCCTCCCCCCCTCCCGCCCCCCTGCCCTGATCCAGGAAACACTGTGCTCACAGAACTGAGCGCTATTTTGGGGTCTTAACACATCACAAATCCCCTTTCCTTGAAACAAAAAGAGCTCTGTGTTAGATGCAGTCTTGTTTAGGAAATTATTAGCCTCCATAGCTAGAAACAAGGAGATTACATTTTTTAAAAGATTAACTTAAGCTCCATAACAAGGAACACTTAAAGCGAATATAGTCATTCAATTATGTAATATTTCCAAAGAGCAAATAGAAGCTTGGAAGCCTGAACTGTTTTTCATATTCTCCTGATTTAGAAAATCGATCCAATATCAACGTTTAATAAAAGCAGCCATTCCCAGCAATTATGGTCTGTGTGTGTGTGTGTGTGTGTGTGTGTGTGTGTGTGTAACAATAGCTTGGCTGGAATATATGTTATATGGCTTAAGTTTCACCTTTTTTATGTGTGTGATCTAATGATTTTTAAAGTAAATTTATGGTTATGCAGCCATTACAACAATCTAATTTTGGAGCATTACTGTCTACCTAAATTTTACATTTTCATTGTAAGACGTGACATTAGAGAAATAGCCACTTTGCTAGGATTACTGCCTGTGGTTGCGTCTGAGTTACACCCTCACTGACCCGGACTTTGCTGGCTCTCCCCCAGGCAGGTGCGAGACCGCTGGCGCCAAGCTCTTGCAGTCTTACCAGAGGCTGAGGTGAGTTCTGCAGACAGCCAGCCGCTCTGGAGCCCGAAGCTGGGCACTGAGGTCTCTGGCCTTCCCGAGGCCCTGGCTTTGGAATGTGACTTTTTTACTTTTAATGATAAAGTACCTGGAAAAAAATCAGAGATATTTCCAGATCCTTATGAAAAGCCTTCTAGATGCTAACATGGTGTTTTCTCCCTAAAGGTGCTGTCCTATTTCTTAAATCCTCCTGAACTGTCCTGAGGAAACAAAGTGTTATTTTGGATGGCACGTTCAATGAGCTTCCAAACCGAGTCTTTACTTTTATGAATCATTCATGTCTCCAATATCTTGGAATGAACTTCGGTGGACGTGAATAATGGCCTTATTGATTTCAGAGAGGAAGGGAGAGGAAGACATAGAAACATCAGTGTTGAAAGAGAATCACTGATCCGCTGCCTCCTGCACGCCCCCTCCTGGGGATGGAGCCTGCAGCCCAGGCCTGTGCCCTGACCAGCAATCAAACCGTGACCTCCTGGTTCATAGATCACTGCTCAACCACTGAGCCACACCAGCCAGGCAGATGTGAACTTCTTTACACAAAATTCCGGGCAGCAGCCGTTGGGGTGCTGGCAGAGTGCACACAGGGTTCCCGGCTCCCACGGAAGGCCGCTGGCGGCTCCCACGGCAGCTCTGTGTGGCCGTGGGGAGAGTCTCCGATCCCAGGCCTTTTCCACTCCCCATCCTCCCCCAGTGCTGGCGCACAAGCTCCTGACTCTTCTCGTGGTGGAGTGTTACGTCCACGGCCTTTCTGTGCTTCTGCCGTGGGTTCCCAGGGGAGCGTGCCCGGCCGCAGGGCCGCCCCACGTGGCCTGCACTGCCGTTCCCACGTTCAGATCCTGGACGCAATGCCCTGGCCGCGCAGCACATCCCAGTGGGGACCTGCCGAGAGCGAGGAAGTTAAAAACCGCACAAACCCCCAAAGATAGAGAGGTTATAGTCAGTTATAGGAGGGGGACGAGGCTGTGTGCTTGGAAGACTGCCGGGGCAGCATCCAGGACCCACTCTCTCTCCTGTGTGTTCCTCAGCAGCAGCATCTCCGTGGTCCCGCCCACCCCGCCTCCGCTCAGTGAGAGCTGGTGCAGCGGCAGCCCTGGCCGGGTATGTCTCCCTGCGGGCTCCCCGAGGGGGGCGGGCAAAGGGAGAGAGGGGGGCCGGGAGGTTGGGTGGGGAGCCCCAGGACAGAGGGAGGCAGCTGTGGCTGGAGTGGTCATGAATGAGGCCAATCACGGAGGGCCAGCTGGGGGTCAGGGAGTGCCGGGCTCGGCCAGTGTCTGTGCTTCAATCTGTGTTAACAACCGGCTCATCTGCTTCTCCCCGACGCCCTTGCCTACACCCCACGCCCTCCCCTGCACTCCTGTCCCCATCTCTTTCCATTTGTCTCTTCGTGGCCTCTCTCTCCACCTGTGCTCTGTCCAGTGGACGTGGGGTCTGTGGAGGCTCCGTGTGTCTGAGGGTCTCCGAGGTGGAAAAGGAGATGCAGGTTGAGTCACAGGAATGCGAGAGCAGGTGCCTCTAGAAATTGTGTGTGTGTGTGTGTGTGTGTGTGTGTGTGTGTGTGTGTCTTCTGATTGTTTTCAGGTGCTAACATAGACCAGGGCCACTTTCTGTCCAAAGAAATTAACCCTGTGGTTTGGGGGAGCTCCCTGGGTCCCCCCTGAAAGGTGGAAATAAGGATACTCATCTGATTTGCCCCCACTGATGTGAGAAATGAACAAAGCCATGCCTGTGCTCATACTTGGAAACTAACGTGCCATGGAGATGTATGGTCTTAATTATTTTCATTATTAGTATCATGTGGACGCAAGGGAGTAACTATATCTATATATAGAAAGATATATACATATCTCGGGGAGAGAAAATATACACTTTTTTTTTCTTTTATTTTAAACCGAGATGCTGGAATGACCTTCAAAATCCTGCTCTACTTTCTCCTTGAGATTTTAAATTCTCCAAAGCTCTTTGAACAGCACTGTGCCCAGGCCATATTTACCGGGTGGATGGGTGGAAGAGTGGATGCGTGGACAGATGGATAGATGCATGAACAATTGGATTGATGGATGGACGGATGGATGCATGAATGGATGGATGGATGACTGAACAGATACATGGATGTATGGATAGATGGATGGATGGATGGATGGATGGATGGATGGACGAATGTATGGACAGATGGATGCATGGATAGATGAAGGGTGGATGGATGGATGGATGGATGGACAGATGGATGCATGAATGTTTGGATGGATGGATGGATGGATGGATGACTGAACAGATACATGGATGTATGAATAGATGGATGGATGGATGGATGGATGGATGGATGGATGAATAGATGGATGGATAGATGGATGCATGGACGAATGTTTGGACGGATGGATGCATGGACGAATAGATGAATGAGACTTGCAGAGGGAAGTGATCTCTTTTCTGTTGTTTTCTCTTCCTTTTTCTTCCCTCTTTCATTTTGGAGGCAGAACTAACCCTTGGCTTCAGGCTGGTCACCTGGTGCCTGCTCCACTGTCAACCCTGTGACACAGGCGTTCTGCCCGGGTTGGCATCCCCTCTGTGGGGAGTGGGCATGAGGTGACAGGAGCAGGTGACGTGGGTACAATTTTCAGCCGATGAAATGTCAGGCGTTGTTTCGTAGAGGTCACTGTTACCTTGTCCACAACCTTCAATGTGGTGTCAGAACTCAGAGGAAGCCAAGTAAGGAGGATTCCTGTCCCTCAGGAGGACAGTGCCCTCTCCACTCAGACATTTATGCACCCACTCCTACATGCACCGAGTATCCACACCCACCAAGCACGAGCACCCACACGCACTGAGCGCCCATAGCACACACCTGCTGCCGTTTGGGGGTTGGCAGTCAGGAGGCTGCTGGGCCCACTCCGGTCTTCAAGCATAACTCACCCTCTCCTGTCTCTGTTTTAGCTGCAGGAACTCGGTCGCTGTAGAGGGTTTAATAAGTCGGTGGAAAACTTGTTCCTGTCGGTTACCACCCACATGAAAAGTAAGTGGATGCCTCTTCCCATGGCCTCCGGCCCTACCTGCGCCGCCACGCCCCAGGCCGAGGCCGAACAGGCCCCTCTCCGCCTCTGGCTTCTGGGGAAAGCCAGGGCCCCTGCTCCTACACCTGCACCCTCAGAGCAGGCCTCTGGGTCCCTGGGGAGGGGGCCCTCCGGTTTCCCAGAGGCTCCCTCCTCCCATCATGTGCAGACCTGCCCCAGCAGCGCCTGGGGCCGGGAGTTCGCAGCCAGCTGGCACTCAGCCCGGCTCCTGGCGAGGACCCGCAGGGACAGGGCCTGTCACCCAGGGCGGCCCCTCGGCGGGCAGGCCCTGACCTGCCTGTGCGGAGGGCTTGCTGGTTTCCCTTCTCCTGGTGAACCGATGTTCCTCAGTCAGCAGTGACCTGCTCCCTGCAGGGAACCAGCCTGCTGCTCAGCAGTTTTGTTCTTTCAATGTTTATTCTGCTCAGATATTCCTTCCTGTTTATCTTAAAATAAGTCCAAGAGCAGGCCGGGTCTCGGCCTCCGGAGCTGCCCGAGCGGGCCAGGCATCTGGAGGGGCTCCTGGGGCTGGGATCTCCGAGCCGGGGTCTCTCACTGCTGCCCGGGCCCTCCCTTCCCTCTCTCCACGGAGGCAGGTGCTGGTCTCTGGGGGCTACCTGGCCTGAGACAAGCGGATCATTTTATTTTATTTTATTTATTTGTTTATTTATTTTAAATATATTTTTTATTAATTTTTTTTACAGAGAGAAAGAGAGAGGGATAGAAAGCTAGAAACATGGATGAGAAACATCAATCAGCTGCCTCCTGCACACCCCCCACTGGGGATGTGCCCGCAACCAAGGTACATGCCCCTGACTGGAATTGAACCCGGGACCTTTGAGTCCGCATGCCAACGCTCTACCCACTGAGCCAAACCAGTTTTGGCAGATCGTTTTATTTTAATCATTCCTCTGTATTTCCCACGAGCCCTCTGGGCTTTGGTCCACAGACAATCACGGAAAAGCCGCTGTCAGATCAGCACAGAGTGACTGTCCTGTGACGGTCTGTCCCCCTCCGCGCAGAAGGGGGAGCAGCCGGATTCCATGGTCTTTTGCTAACGGAGCGTGGAGGTTTCAAAGCACCTGCCAGCCAGGCTCTGGGCAAGCAGCGGCTCCTCCCCGGCTGACACCGACGCAACGGGCCTCTCTGCTTCCTTCCTATTTGTTTTTATTTTTATTGATTTCAGAGAGGAGAGAGAGGGAGACAGAGAAACATCCGTGATGAGAGAGAATCATGGATTGGCTGCCTCCTGCATGCCCCCTACTGGGAATCGAGCTCACAACCTGGGCCTGTGTCCTGACCATGAATCGGACAGTGACCTCCTGGTTCACAGGTTGATTCTCTACCACTGAGCCACACTGGCTGGGCTCTGCCCCGCCTGCAGGAGAAATGAGTCTCTGTGCCCTCCCTGGTCCTGCCCTCCCGCCAGCTACTGGGAGGGGGAGGGGGACGGGGACCCCAGCCAGCTCCTCCGAGGGGGAGGGGGACAGGGACCCCAGCCAGCTTCTCCAAGGGGGAGGGGGACAGGGACCTCAGGCAACTCCTCCGAGGGGGATGGGGATGGGGACCCCAGCCAGCTCCTCCGACGGGGAGAGGGACAGGGACCTCAGGCAACTCCTCCGAGGGGGATGGGGATGGGGACCCCAGCCAGCTCCTGAGAGGGGAGGGGTACAGGGACCAGAGGGGCCCTGGGCTGTGCTGTCCCGTACGGTACCCGCAGCCACGGTCACAGGTGGCTCATGAAATGTGGTGCCTGAGTTAATAGTAAAGCCGAAACTGGTTTGGCTCAGTGGATAGAGCATCAGTCTGGGGACTGAGGGGTCCCAGGTTCAATTCCAGTCAAGGGCATGTACCTTGGTTGCCGGCACATCCCTGGTGGGGGGGTGTGCAGGAGGCAGCTGGTGGATGTTTCTCTCATCAATGTTTCTAGCTCTCTATCCCTCTCCCCTCCTCTCTGTAAGAAATCAATAAAATGCTGAAACCGGTTTGGCTCAGTGGAAGAGCGTCGGCCTGGGGACTGAAGGGTCCCAGGTTCGATTCCGGCCAAGGGCATGTACCTTGGTTGCGGGCACATCCCCAGTGGAGGGTGTGCAGGAGGCAGCTGGTCGATGTTTCTCTCTCATCAATGTTTCTAACTCTCTATCCCTCTCAATTCCTCTCTGTGTAAAATCAATAAAATATATTTAAAAAAATCAATAAAATATATTTTTATTTAAAATATATTTTTATAAAAAAAGTAAAAACACACTGAATTCTGGAAACTTAGTATTCAGAACTAAGTTTAAAATTTCATTAGTAAGTTTAATATCAATTATATATTTGAGCAATGTGTGGATATAGTATAGTATTAAAATTACTTTGCCTTTTCCTTTTTTATATTTTTAAAATATATTTTTATTGATTTCAGGGAGGAAGGGAGAAGGAGAGAGAGAAATATCAAAGATTCTAGAGAATCATTGATCTGCTGCCTCCTGTACAGCCCCCAGTGGGCCTCCTGCACACCCACTGGGGACCGAGCCCGCAACCCCAGCCCCGAGCCCACACCCCCAGCCCCGAGCCCACAACCCCCAGCCCCGACTTGTGCACTTGACTGGAACCCGGGCCCCTTCAGTCCATACCCACTGAGCCAAAGCGGCTAGGGCATCTTTTCCTGTTTGAAATGTGGCCACCTGGAAGTTTGAAGTGTCAGGAGCCATCCTGGGCCGCTGCTCTGGAGACAGCTTCCAGTCATCCTCTGAGAGCGGCGGGGATCTGGAGGGGGCAGGATTCGGAGGGGGCAGGATTCGGAGGGGGCAGGATTCGGAGGGAGCAGGATTCGGAGGGAGCAGGATTCGGAGGGGGCAGGATTCGGAGGGAGCAGGATTCGGAGGGAGCAGGATTCGGAGGGGGCAGGATTCGGAGGGGGCAGGATTCGGAGGGGGCTCGTGCTGAGGTGCCCTCTCAGGGCGGTGACACATCCTTCTACCCAGACAGACCCCGGCCACCGTGCACACCACATGGTCAGCCATCCTTCCGGTGTTGCTTATTGAAATAGGTGCCTCTCTTCAAAAAGTCAAACTCGCTTGCAATTGGTTATAAAATCTTGGCGAGGCCCTACCTGGTTTGGCTCAATGGATGGAGCCTTGGCCTGCGGACTGAGGGGTCACAGGTTCGATTCCAGTCAGGGGCACATGCTCGGGTTGCAGGCCTGGTGGGGGGCAGGCAGGAGGTAGCCCATAAATGACTCTCTCTCTCATCACTGATGATTCTCTCTCTCTTCTCCCTTCCTCTCTCTGAAATAAACAAGTAAGTAAGTAAGTAAATAAATAAATAAAATCTCGGGGAGGACCCTAAAACACTGGCTCTTGGCTGGGCTCCGTCTTTGCGTTTGGACAGTCGGACACCCGGCGTGTGGCCCGGAGGCAGAGCCCCCTGAGCCAGAAGCTCTTCCTGTAACTCCCGCCCTGATGGTGGCCCTCGATCACCTCTTAGGGCTCCCGTTCCTCGGACCCGAGCCAGCACGCAGTGTGGAGAGCCCCGTCTGTCTGAGCTCCCTCTCCCCCCAGGCCCGGAGCTGGGTGCCCTCCATTCGCTTGCTCTCCCGGCACCATGGGCCCCACTCTCCTGTGGGAGGGCTCCGGGACTGCGTGCCTGCCTGCCACCTCCCGTGCCTTGTTTTCTAGAACTCTCTAAGTCCCAGAACGACATGACCTCGGACAAGCAGCTCCTCAGCACGGACCCCAGGCCGGGCGCCAGCCGGACGGAGCGGCGGAGCCAGAGTGACACCGCCATCAACGCCGCCCCCAGGGTACGCCGGGCTGGCAGCCTGAGACTGCCTTCCTCCAGACTCCGGATCTCTTATGGCAAAGCACCAGGCGGCCTGCACACAATCACAGGCGCCTCTGTGGGGGCTGGGCCAAAGGAAGGTCAAAACCAAGGTCCGTTTGGAAAACAGTTCAGAACAGGGCAGGGCTCAGCCTCATCCCCAGTGCCCCGGTCCCCGAGGCCCTCCAGCCGGCCCGGCCTCACAGCTCGCCACGCGGGGCGTCCCGCGTTCCCATCCCCTAGCGCTGTGGTCGGCAAACTCATCCGTCAGCAGGACCGAATAGCAACAGCACAACCACTGACATTTCTCCGGAGAGCCACGTTTTTTAAACTTAGACTTCTTCTAACGCCACTTCCCCAAAATAGACTCGCCCAGGCCGTGGTGTTTTGTGGAAGAGCCACACTCAAGGGGCCAGAGAGCCGCGTGTGGCTCGCGAGCCGCAGTTTGCCGACCACTGGGCTAGACCGTCAGCCTTGCCTCTGTGCAGGGTGGGCCTCACACAGGCGCTCATTGTCCCCCAACGAGGGAGCGATGGAAACTCTTGAGAAGTCCCTGTGGGGACGGACAAGCTGTTCTCGGAGCCGGGTTCCCTGGGGTGGGCGCTGACGGACAACGCCCCCGCCCCCCGGAGTGTGCTGGGGAGCAGGGCACCTCCCGCCACGGTGCGGTCCTCAGGCAGTCAGCGTGGGCGGGGCTTCAGGCGGGATGGACTGCTCATCATTTCGGATATGCACGTGTGCCCTGATGCTTCTCCCATCTCCCTGGGCCTGACCTAAAGCCAGCCTTCCACCCCGAGCAGTGACAGTCCCACAGGCCCAGGTCCGGCCCCTGCACCAGCCCGTCCTCTCCTCTCTCCATTTCACTGGTGTGTCCGCTTCCTGCTGGCGAGGGCACCTCAGGGGACAGCCTCTGCGTCTCTCCTCCTCCCCTTCCCGCTCCTCCTTCCCTTCCCACTCCTCCTCCTCTGCCCCCAGGGCTTAGGGTGGTGGGGTGGACAGGGCACTGCTTAACCCAGGCCCAATGCAATCGAGTTGAGGGCAGAAACAGTAATTTGGAGGTAATCTCTTTCTTCATTTGTCCTCTCCATCCTCACTTAGCTTTTCATGGCTGAAAATGATGACTGTGGTGTGACTGCTGTTTTCAGGTGCTGCTTCTGAAAAAAGCCTCCGTTCAGAAGTGTTTCTGTCTTCAGCCCGAAGCTGCCCCACCTGCCCACTGTGTTCAACGGCCTCACATGGCTGCTAAGCATGTGCAATGTGTCCAGGACAGCTCAGGAGTGGAACTTAATAATCTTATTTGATATCGATTAATTAGAACCTGGATTAAATAGCCACACGCGGCCAGT